AACTGTACTGTACTTAAATTATTGTAAATGTTTTGTACTGGTTTAGTGCATGCACCTTGATAGCCATAAGTATAGGATGCCTTTGTTGATGATCATTATAATTACTGGTCAGCAGAATGCCCAAAAATCCAGAAATTTACCCATCAGGGCTGGCAAATTATAGTTGATTCCAGGCCCCCAATGGTATTTTAAAATTGAATTTCTCCTTTCAGAATACTGGCCATCAGAAAGCATTTCACACATTTATACTGCCACTTTCATTGTTATCGATAATGTTGAATTATACAACCCTGATCACAACTGGCCTAATTTCCTCTGCAAAATAGCAGATTAATTCTTTTCTAGAAGCGGCTACTAAAAGCACATGCAGCTAAGGGTATATACTGCACAGTGTGTAATTTTTCTATTAATTAATATGATTCATCATTTAGCATCAGTTTTTGCTTGTTCACTTTATAGTGGAAGAAATTGACCCTGGATGATAATGGCCAAGTAGTTGAATCCGAGTTTGAGGTTGAAGGAAGAAAACACTCATTACTAGACATCCGAAAAAAGATTTTGGAACAGTCAAGTGAGTTCATGCGGGAAAAATCAGACGAACAATATTATGAAATGAGTGAAAGCGATATCATTGGTTCTTTAAAAGCAATTGGTGAATACAATGAAGACAAAGATGAAGATATTTCTTGTTTGAGGCAGAAATTAATTAGGATTGAAAGAACAAGGCACTTTAAGACTTGGCATGATTTGTCCACAGTTTCAAACCACAGTCATTTGGTGTTCATGGTGACATTGCTATATGATCCTGCTGTTTACTACACAAATGAAGAATTTAAGATCAAGACCAAGCAAGAAGTAGATGTGCAGGCCAAAGTAGAAGTACCACAAGTTCACATCATAGCCAGATCAAGCTCTGCTGATAGTGAACAGTTGGCTTACATTGAGACTAGAACAGAGTGTCTTTGTAAATTAACTGATCCTATCAGTACAGAAAATGGGAATGAAGTGACCGATGTCATGCGATTCTTTCATGGAGACAGTCCAGCTAGGCAATACGAAAGTGGGCAGCAGAAAGGTGGACACTTTTACTGCCCTGTGTGTGGTGCTAATGCACATCGGGTCTATGAATTAGAGTATTGTCTAAGATCCAAATACATCTCCCTAGCAGAGAGACAACAGGTAGTTTTGCAAGGGCCTATTGGCCAAAAGAAATCACTGGAAAGAAACAACAAGCCTTTTGCAAAACTATCAAAACAAGAACTTATCAGAGAATTGTCGGCCAGAGGAATCTATGAAGGCAATCGTAAAGACGAACTGGAGAAACTTCTCACTGACGAACTGCATGGCATCCAGAGAGTTCCAGCGTTGCTGTTTCATACACCAAACAAGGGCTTGGAGACCATCAATTGCCAGAATTATGAGATCCTACCATTTGAGCCATTACACGATATCGGTAAACATATTGAAAATGTATTTGAGGAATTACCACATCATCTCGAAAGGGATCAGGCGAAACCAATTTTAGATGTTTTGGACGTCGCATTGAATGGCAAAGATACCAAAAGGACATTTGACTACCGATGTTCACTAGTTCAGGTATCCCTCCATACCAGAGGAAAAATTCCTTCCAAGGCTCAACATCTTCTTGATACGCTTGTTGAAATCCAACAAATTGCCTATGCCTCAGAGAAAGCCAGGACACCAAGACAAGTTCTACGGTTCCACAATCTAACATGGCTACATGGGATTTTGTGCACGGAAGTTATTGGGTTTCAATTAAAGAAACTTACTTGTAGAAAGCTTTACGGCAACTATTTCCACAACATAACCTCCCATGCAGCAATGCAAAATCGAATTATTAATGGTAGATCAAGCAATGTTGAAGAGCAGGAAAGAGTTTTCAACACCATTAAGAATATTACAAAGGGAACATCATCAAATCACCCCAATCAACTCATTGGCAATATCCTGGTGAGAATGCAAGCTGAAGGTAAACTTAAAGATTACCAAAATGTTGTGTGTAATCAACAGAAGCAAGTCACCAAATTAGCAAATGCATTGCCATCATTTGGAAACAGCACCTTTTCTCGCGCTTTCTTGGTTAAACACAGCAAATCATGGCAAGCTCACTTAGAAAACATCAGTGATTACCTTTTACATGGGGAAGGAATTTGGTGGAAAAAAACTGAGAATGAGAGTATTGAGTTTTATGATGCTGTTGAAAACCCAGACTATCAACCAGAGGGCCCTGTACTCCACCACTTCAGATCTACAACATTTGAAGGTGAGCAGAAATATCTTGCAGCATCCTGGAAAATCTGTCTGGACAAAAAAGTCGAACTACCATTAGTTGTTCTGCGGGTTCCAGATCAGAATGGAAATATGATCATTGCTAGTAACCCAACCCAAGAAGATGCACAAGTGAGCAGAGTTATCCACCCTGAACCTATTTCAGAAGACGACACACCATCTTTCCATGACACACCAGATGAAAATAATTTGCCATTTACTTTGGCTGTATGCAATGATATATTATTGGACGATCAGGAGCTAAACTATGAAGGTATGTAGTACATGGTTATGGAACTGTATTTATAGTGTTAATTTTATGTTGTGAAGGTGCTATAATCATCCTCATACTTGCAGCTGAGAGCTAATTAAGATGTAGTGCAAAGGATGCAGCTCAACATGATCTGGCCTGTTTGAGGCTTTCTATCGGTGCCTCTGGGAGCGACCGTATGACTCATGTCTGATCATGAAGCACCCGGAGAAAACCCACAACTTTTGCTAGAGCATTGCCAGCTATCTCAATGTTACATGGACATATGATTTAATTTCATTTAGCGGTTGTTTACATAATTATACAATACTGGGATAAAAAATTGCTCAAACCATGTATATAACATGTTATAATAATTCGCAAAAAGAGTATAGCCAAATTAGGAAAAAAGAATTATAATTTTTTTTCTATTATTTTAGGTTTCCCCCAAACTGATGAGAACAACTGCAGAGATGCTACTCCAACTGACTCAAGAGAAGTCATCATGGAACCAGCTGTCAATGAAGTTTCCACAATGGGACCTTCCACAAGTGAAGTAAATCTCAGTCCTAATCAAAACAGTTTAGAATCTGTTGAATTAAGTGTAGATAAAGAGATGCAAAAAGAGATGGCGTATAAGTGTTCATCTAGCAAAATAAGTCGGGCAGTTGAGACAGTGTTAGGGCTCACACAAGATGTCATCCAGTTTGATAAAGCCAGAGTTAGGCATAAGCAACATCCTAAAAATGCCACTTACTCCAAAGATCATGATAAAATGCTGGCTATTATTCACACAAGAATATCCAAGCAAAGGCGACTCATCAAAGAAGAAATAAACAGCTGGGAGAAGGAGTTTTACTCGACAAATGGTGAACTGCCAACAAAACAGGATATGACAGACAACCTTGCTATGAAACAGGCGTTAAAACGACTACAATGTGCAGACCGTCTCCTCGAAAAATTTGTAAACGGGTAGGGTTTATAGTTTGTTTACTTGCTAGTCACGAATCTAGTAGAATTTATGATTTTGTGGACTAGATGTCACAAAATATAGAAGGAAATCAAATGTAACATCTCGTCCACAAAATCATAAAATTAATACGGAGGGGAATGACAAATTGGTTAAGTTCGAGATTAAGTTAGACACAATATTAAGAGTGTAATCGTGGCTGCCTTCTCGTTTCAATGATCGAAATTGTAAATACTGTAGTACACTCTCTGTAAATATATTCTCATGTTCTCCTATGATATACTACGGTAAATAAACGTAACATTTTGTGACTTACCTCAAACTCGGCATCTACTGTAAATACCACTTTCATGGCTGCAATATTGGCTGTTCAATTGTAATATATATTTATCAATAAAGCATGCAACAGCAGAAAATCCAACTGAGCAAGCATTCAAGCGTTGTAGCTGATTTTAGCATGTTCGTTTCCTAGGCAACCAATTCGAACTTAGCCCATATAAGGACAGCATGGCCAAAAATAGCTATTTAGTTACCGAGTTCCTTTGGCGGCAAATTGCGCGCATTTTAGAATATACTGAAGATTTCTGAAGACAGTCAAAGCACTTGCGCGATTTTTGAATTTGTTGGTTGCAAAGAAACGTAGATTAATGGCACCCACACAAGAGCAAAAGCGACGAATGAGGAATGACCGCAAAAAGCGTAAGAAATACGAAATAAGAGAGAAGAGAAAAGCAAAACAGGTAGCTGGGCTGAACTTAAAATTTGAAGCTGCTCTCCGCGCAGTCAACGACGAAGCAACCCGTAACAAAGACCTCGCTTCGAAGTACTATTCCTTGTGGAAAAGGTGCGCAAAACAGAAAAAGGAAATTGCGCAGTTACTGGATAAAACTTGTAAGAGGGTAGGTAAACCTAAAAACCCATTTTTTATATTACTTAAGTCTTCTAACCAGGGCCGTGCCAACCGGTTTCTGGGGGTCCGCAACACAACATTTCCCAGAAAATTTCTTAATTCAGCGCACATATGCTTCATTTTTAACAAATTTTGCAATTCCAGCATGCCAGGGCCCCCTCCCCGCACGTTAGGCACCCTTTTTTTTTAACTTTTTGGGGGTGTTACCCACACACACACACACAGGTGGCATGGCCCTGCTTCTAACCAGTGGGTATAGTGTTGGTGTTGCATAATACAGATTAGAGAGGGGGATGCGTCATACTTATTGGAGGGGAATGCTTATTTGGCGGGGGGCGGCTTAATAGAGAGCTTAAAATTTCGAGTAAAATCATTTGGCATTAGACAGAGTAAAAGAATAAAGCAGAGCGCATTTGGGCATATTGCCGCTCAAATTAAACAGCTGTTCTAAAAGCAAACATAAGCTAGCATGTTGTGTTAACATTTCAAGTGGCCATTTCAACAAGGTCTTACTTTTTGATATGTAATTATTGGGCTTCGATGGTGCATGAAACCATTGGCTTTTCACCTCTAAAGCTGGAGTAATATGAGCCACAAAATTGCTGCAACTTGCAACAAAATCTGATTTCAATTCATGTTAAGTAGAAATATTGACACATGTTGTCTCGTGATTTGTAATTTATGTGTAAACATTTCAATTAACATGCGTCAATATCAGATTTTGTTGCAAGTTGCAGCTATTTTGTTGCCCATATTACTCCACCTTTTAAGGTTGTGGGTTCGATTCTCAGTATAGGCTTCTCGATGTGACTCGAACCCAGTCCTCATGTAGTCATGTGAACAAAGTATAAGTCAATACTCTGCCAAAAGTTCTGGGTTTCCATCAGGTACTCTGGTTTCTTCCCACAGGGAAGTTGACAGGGTGGGTTAGGTAATACGGACTCACAGTAATTGGCATATGCTGTTGTGGTGACCCTTGCCCTTGTGGCAAAGCTAAATAAATACCCAATACAAATATGAGATATTCTAACAAACAATATATTATGCTAATTAGTCAAACTATTTTACAGAAGTCTTATGTAGATATTGGTGCACATGAAAAAAGTATGTCAACTTATGTATTTTCCCAAGTGCTACCAGAAGAACTTGAAGATGTTAACCAAATCTTAGGAGCAGGAACATTTGGAGAATGCCATCTCAAACAATATTTGCGGTTAGGAATACGTGTGGTTGAGAAAAAGTTGGTTGAAAGTGATCTGAAATTACTTTATGATGAAGCATATTACATGCAGTTATTTTCACATCGATGTGTGCCTCATCTGATAGGAATCCAGACCCAAATAAAGCCATATTCTCTCATCATGGAATTTCTTGGACATGGAGTGGAATCTATGACAGTGCACAGGTTACTTTTCGACGCTGTATTTAGTGAGCAGAAATCCAGAATGTTGCTTCCAAACTGGTTTAGAGTATGCTATGACATAGCTGATGCTTTGCATTATATTCATGAAAAGGAATATTTGCATTGTGACTTGAAGTCAAATAATGTTTTGGTTTGCAACCAAAAGGGTTATTTGATTGATTTCGGAAAAGTCTGTAAGGTCAGGAATCCAAGAGCAAAGAAATATAAAACAGTATATCCCCATATTGCACCAGAAGTACTTAATGGTCATCCAGTCAGTAAGGCCAGCGACGTGTTTTCATATGGTAAAATCCTTAAGATCATTGGTGAGCAGCTTAGAAACAAGGAACTTCTATCAATGGGGGATAAAGCTTCTGAATCTTTACCAAGTAGGAGACCAAGCCTTCTAGGAATTTTAACAGCTTTGCAACCATCGATGGCTAAAAATTATTAAAAATTATTCAGTATGATTATTATCAGTTCAGTCATTGTGAATCATCACACTTTTAATGTAAATATAAGTAGCTTAATTTAACAAAAATCTTAAAATTTTAATCCACAGTCATGGCAAGAACTTCTAAGCTGTCAAGATTTCTGTCTTTGGGCAGCTGGCTGTCAAGATTTCTGTCTTTCGGCAGTCAGTTCAAGCTATTCTGTGTACATAGTAGCTTAATTTAACAAAAATCTTAAAATTTTAACCCACAGTTATAGCAAGAACTTCTAAGCTGTCAAGATTTCTGTCTTTGGGCAGCTGGCTGTCAAGATTTCTGTCTTTTGGCAGTCAGTTCAAGCTATTCTGTGTACATAGTGGCTTAATTTAACAAAAATCTTAAAATTTTAACCCACAGTCATAGCAAGAACTTCTAAGCTGTCAAGATTTCTGTCTTTCGGCAGCTGGCTGTCAAGATTTCTGTCTTTCGGCAGTCAGTTCAAGCTATTCTGTGTACATAGTAGCTTAATTTAACAAAAATCTTAAAATTTTAACCCACAGTTATAGCAAGAACTTCTAAGCTGTCAAGATTTCTCTCTTTGGGCAGCTGGCTGTCAAGATTTCTGTCTTTCGGCAGTCAGTTCAAGCTATTCTGTGTACATAGTAGCTTAATTTAACAAAAATCTTAAAATTTTAACCCACAGTCATAGCAAGAACTTCTAAGCTGTCAAGATTTCTGTCTTTGGGCAGCTGGCTGTCAAGATTTCTGTCTTTCGGCAGTCAGTTCAAGCTATTCTGTGTACATAGTAGCTTAATTTAACAAACATCTTAAAATTTTAACCCACAGTTATAGCAAGAACTTCTAAGCTGTCAAGATTTCTCTCTTTGGGCAGCTGGCTGTCAAGATTTCTGTCTTTCGGCAGTCAGTTCAAGCTATTCTGTGTACAAATTAGCTTAATTCAATAAAAATCTTTAAAATTCTAACCCAGCCATTTAACAACTTCTAATGTCTGTAATGATGATGATAGTAGACACAACCACATTCAAAAGCCAAATTTTTGCAAAATTATAATCAGAGCTATTGGTTCATTGACATTGTCTTGAACATATTAGCAGTAGTGACTAGTGTAAATTTATACATAAAATATTCAGAAATATAAAATTCGTCACCTTTAGCGTTGAGGCAAACCGTAAAAGCGTTTGTCCTCGCGCTTTTTCGTTTGTCTTTGTCTCTATATTAGTATGAAACTTTGAAGCCGTCCAAATTCAATACACATGTTTACTTTTATATATAAATATATTATGGTATTCAGGTCAGTACAATGGATGACTGTTCTGAATGAATCGTCAAAGTATTGTCAAAAGCTATGGTCACAAGCTACGTAAATGTAAAATCGACATACCTGATAAGAGATTCTTCTTTTAGATTTCTGTTTAAATTTCTTTCCGTAAAATGTGGTCTTCGAATAATTCGAAAATATATTTTAAAATATATCAGACGTGCCTCACTCACTCAGGCCTCACTCCTTCCATCGCTATTTACGACCGCTAAAAATGTCGGTGAAATGGCGAATGGCCGCGCTTGACCTAGACACATTGAAACTGGGTCGAAACAAAACTTGACCCAGGCATTAATACACTTGAATTTAATTAAGGGCCTTGAAATTATTGGGGCAATTGTTCAGCCAGTCAGCTTCAGGAAAAAACAAAACTGATTTTTGCGAATACGGGTTATCAGAATATCAGTGTAATGGTGCATCAAAATGTCAGCTGGATTTTGGGCATCTCACTGGACAAAGTTGATCTTTAATGAGGGTGGGAAAGGGTATTTTCGTGAGTCGTGAATGGTCAATATTTGTTCGCGTGAAATGCTTGATTTTGGTGTCGTGAAATGTGATTTGTTCTACAGCCGTGATTGTCGATAAAAGTGTCTGTTTCGTGAACTGTGATTTTGCTTTGTTTATTTCGATTTATTTTGTAATAGTCATAATAGACATGATACGCGATGATCAATTTATAGAATCGATCTCACTCGATTGCACAAGAGTAAAAACTTCGGAGGCCTTTCGGTGGTCGTCGGACATTCTCGTCACTCAAACTTTTTAAATTAAGTTAAGGACGGACCATAAGAAAAGTGATGGGGGAGGGGGACAGAAAAAAAATCCATGCAAACAAAAAATGTTTGAAAAAAAATACATGCAAACAATCTTGTTTAAAAAAAAATTACAAACAGAACAACAATAGAACTTTCATTTTAAATGTACATCAGACAAAATTGAACTAAATCTTTGAATATTACGAAATATAAATATATAAATATATAATATATTATTAATATGCAATTTCTTTCAATATTAACAGTAACTCTTATATAGTTTTATTATATACTATCAAAATATTTTCTATTGTCTTTAATAATCCTCATTCACACTGCCACTGTCCTCGATCAGTGGCGTAACTACTATGGGCTCAGATCGGGAGAACCCAGGGACCCCCAACCCCAATGGGCCAAATGAGGGCCCCCAGGCTCAGGCTATAGAGTAAAAACATTGGCCAGGGCCTCTGATATGTTACAATGTCGTTTTCTGACCATCAGAATTCTGTAAAATCTCTCCCCAAACTCCGGGAAATGGTATTTCAGAGAATCTAGATTCAAAAATTTTCCGGGTGAGCATGCTCTAGACCCCCTAAAAAACTTGTGCATATATGGCGCTTGACTTGAGCCTTTGGCACATCTACTACGGGGGGCCTTCGAAAGTTTTGAACCGGGGGCCTCTGAAATCGCAGTGCCACTATCGTCTTGATCTACAACCAAACTACAACTTTTCCCTGGATCTACAATTAAACTGACACTATCTTCTTGATCTACAACCAAACTACCATTTTTTCCTTCATCTACAATCAAACTGACACTCTCTTCTTGATCTACAACCAAACTGCAACTTTTCCCTTGATCTATAATTAATCTGACATTATCTTCTTGATTTACAACCAAACTATCATTTTTCCCTTCATCCACAATCAAACTGACACTATCTTTTTGATCTACAACCTAACTACAACTTTTCCCTTGATCTACAATTAAACTGACACTATCTTCTTGATCTACAACCAAACTATCATTTTTTCCTTTATTTACAATCAAACTGACACTATCTTTTTTATCTACAACCAAACTACAACTTTTCCCTTGATCTACAATTAAACTGACACTATCTTCTTGATCTACAACCAAACTATCATTTTTTCCTCCATCTACAATCAAACTGGCACTATCTTCTTGATCTACAACCAAACTACCACTTTCCTCTTCATCTACAATCAAACTGACACTATCTTCTTGATCTACAACCAAACTACTACTTTTCCCTTCATCTATCAAACTGACAACACTATCTTCCTGATCTATAAATATAATCTCAATGGCAATATCTTCTTCTACATTTTATTTTCCTCTACTTAATCTTGCTCTTTTCTTTTATCATGTTTTGTTTCTTCTTCCTTTTGCTCACTTGTTCTGCCATTCTTATATCATTAAGGTGGCTCGCTACAGTTTATAGAAATGTTGAAAATGCGTAAACTAGATCACCTTTTTGAAGAGATGATGCTCTTTACAAATCGAAATTTGTATATTATACATACAGCGACAATCAAACAGTCGAAAATTGCTCAGAAAAGTGACGTCACCACTGTTGCTATGGCAACAATGACGATTCAAGATGGCCGATATTTTGGCTTTGAACGCATTTTACTTTAAAAAAAGGCCGGTTACCCCCATTTTTTATTTCAGAAAACATTTTCTTATAGTACAGTACACTATCTGACCAATTTTTAAAAAATCTGTAATGCCAAATTTTTTAAAAATTTATAAACATCGTTTTTCGAAATAATTTTTTTTTGCATTACAGAATTTTTTTAAAATTGGTCAGATAGTGCATTGCACTATAATAACATGTTTTCTGAATGTTTTCGACCTTTTTCAAAGTAAAATGCGTTCAAAGCCAAAATATCGGCTATCTTGAATCGTACTCATTGTTACCATAGCAACAGTGGTGACGTCACTTTTCTGACCAATTTTCGACTGTTTGATTGTCGCTGTATATGTATAATATACAAATTTCGATTTGTAAAGAGCATCATCTCTTCAAAAAGGTGATCTAGTTTACGCATTTTCAACATTTCTATAAACTGTTGCGAGCCACCTTAAATGGTATATATGCACTATCAACTCTCATCCTCGTTTGACAAAAGCTTATGAAAGAATGAACAGGGAGTAGCGGAAACATCAAAGTGTTAAGAATTTTGGCCTGTTTCAGCTAGTTTCGACACAACGTACTACATCAGATTATTATAAAGAAACTACTTGCACTGGGTTATCTACGAAAATATTTGTGTCTTGTACGTCTGTCATTATTCAGGAGCTGGGAAGAAAAAAAATAACATTTCTTTAAATACTTCCGTTTCCGATTATTACTTTTCTATTAGAACAATGAAGACTTATATTGTGCTTACAAGTTACAATTAATTATAATTGTTGCTTTAAAACCGTGCACTTAATATTAATTGATTTCGCTATACGCATAGCCTGCGAATACAGGCGGCCTGATTCACTTCTTCGTTATCACGACGAAAGAGTGAATTAGGCCGGCTGTATTCGCAGGCTATACTATAGGCGCGCTGGACGTTTCGAGGAGATCCTGCTCGTGATTACTCGTGATATATACAAACTCCACGAAGTGTTTGATCCAGGCGGGATCATAAACAAACCCTTATATAAAGCACGACAGATACAACGACATGATAGCCAAATTGTAAAATTAGTTGTTCTCGACCGCGGCAGTCCCCCCATTATCTGTAGTTTAATGGTGTGAAAGAAGTAGCAAAAATTTCTGTTTGTTGCCTGTTGGTTAGTTAACGGGGCAGTGTCACCGATTTTGACCCTCACAAATCTTTAAGAATCTTGCACAAAACCTAAAAAGAATGGTTGTAAGCACAATATAAAACAATAACAAATACAAAAAGCATGTACAGAAGTCTGGATGGTTGAGATTACGCGAGGATTGAGATGGATTGTAAATGACATCTTGATTAATTGTTGGCCATCTTACATGCTGTGTGGAAGTTCAAAGTTGTTTAATATGATTCGTATATCATAACTGAACCTATTTATATATATATATATATATATATATATATATATATATATATATATATATATATATATATATATATATATAGATTTTGAACGTAAAGGATACAGCCTAAACCCAATTTATATGGTCTTGGTAGACCTGACTATACCCCAAACAACAATAAACTTCATCAAGTATAACGCATTCAAGATGCAGTACCATTTCTGGCTATTATTATCCAAGTATGTTGTCCACAACAAATTATATATATATATACATATATATATATTCGCATGTCGGCTATAATTCGCAGGTCAGACTTTGAATGAAAGACTTTTTTGTCAAAAATTGGTGACACTAGCCCTTTAAATAAGAGAAAGTATAGTTATAATTAGAAAAGATTAAGCCTAGTTCTTATTCATCGCTAGCCTGCGAACAGGCTCTCTTTGAACTCTCTTTGAAATTTGATTCAAAGAGCCTGTTCGCAGGCTAATTTATCGCAAACCGTCGGCGATGGGAGCTTTGCGACGTCGGCGACTGCTTGCGATTTATGAGAACACATCAAAAATTATATCGCCGATTGTCCGTGATCGTCGCCGACCATCGGCGATGACATCGCAGAAAACAAAAAGTTTGAATTTTGGGATAGGTAATAGGACCTCTACATGCGTCTTGGACCTGTGGTTTGCTTATATTTTATAATCATTATTCATCCAATGGATTTCTTATATTTTCAACGGGGTCTTGAAATAGACCATCCCGTGAAATATTGTGTAAAAGTTGCACGCGTGTAATGCGTGCGTTGTTTTGTGTATCTTTATGTAAATCCATTGTAGAAATATCGTAATTGAAGTTAGCGTGTATTGTATGTAAAGTTATTACTTGGTAATTGATAGGTGTGATTTGATGATGCACATGAATTTATCACAGGGCCGGATTTGACCATACTGCGATATTGCAAATTAGGAATTGGTAATAGGGCTTGCATATTTTAATTTTGGAATAGGTAATAAGACCTCTACATGTGTCTTGGACCTGTGGTTTACTTATATTCATTTCACATATATATACACATATACACACATATACACATACATACACACACACATACACATATACACACATATACACACATATCTATCTAATGGATTTCTTATATTTTCAACTGGGCCTTGAAAGTAGACCACACTGCAAAAAATCAATTTCTTGTTTTAAGAAAATATTACTTATTTTAAGCACAAAATTACTTGTTTTAAGAAAATTTTACTTGTCCCGTGGGTAAGTAAAATATTCTAGGTAAGAATCAGATTTCAAGAAAATTTTTCTTAAAATAAGAAAATTAATCTTGGTTAGAACAAAATTCTTGGTAAGAAAATTTTTCTAATTTTGTCCCGTGGGTAAGTAAAATTTTCTTATCAAGAATATTTTTCTTATTTCAAGAAAACGTTCTGGCAAAATTTTCTTATTTCTAGAAAAAAATTCTTAGTTTCCCAAGAATTATTTTCTAGTAATAAGAAAATTTTGCTAGAACGTTTTCTTGAAATAAGAAAAATAATCTTAATAAGAAAATTTTACTTACCCATGGGACAAAATTAGACAAATTATCTTGAATTGAAATCCTGCTAAGAAAATTATTCTAGTTCGATCCGGTGTGCATGGCTTTTAAGAATATTTTTCTTAAATGACAATATGAAACTAGAATAATAATCTTGGCATGATTTTTTGCTGTTGTCATCCTACAATATAAAAACAATTAAGAATGTTTAAAATAATATATTTACCAGCTATACATGAATAGGTTATTAAAGTAATTACTGATAGATAAATGTAAAAGTTCTCACACGTAGCAATATTGTTCAATTTCTTGAAAAGCCTTTACCATGTCAGACTGCTGAGTCTGGATGGGTAGTCTAAGTCGAGCAGGTACAGTAGAACAACGCCAGGAAGTAAAGATGGCTTTTACAGTTTCGCTATTCTCGAATGTTGCCAATAGCTCCATGTCATGATCAGCCCTGATACAGTATGTCATTGGGTCTCATTCTCAGCCAGGTAGTCAAGTCTGTGTCTCCTTCCTTTTGAGGAAAAAAAAACACAAAAATAGTTTTGGTAACAACTACACAACCCTCATTAATTAACAGCTTATGTTTTCACTAACAAGCTCAGGGGTGGAAAAAATATTTTACTTTCTGGGACCGCAAAAAGTTCATTGAAAAATTTTCTGCAAATGATCAAGTAAATCGACACTCGGCCAATGTAACTGTGTGACACCTAATAAGTTGTCAAACTGGATGTCATGCTACATGTATATTTACAGAAAAAAATATTTCAGTGCACTGAGAATCTTAAAATATAACATAAAGCTAATATAGATAACATGCATCAAGGGTATGATCCTAAAGTAAATACAGATGCAAAATTGGCACTGGGGGGCACTATCAGGTGGATCCATGCTCTAGCTCCCAGAAAATTTTGAAATCAAGTGTCCCAGATTGGCTAAAAATGCATTTGCCATACAACAATTGTTACATCATTCTATAGTCTAATACATTTATACACTATCGCAAAACTATCGCACTATTAAGATGGTTGCACTTATAATTGCATTTCTGAGGTCATGGTGTTAATTTTCCTCTGAATTTCTCCTTTTATCTGAATTATTACAATTTTTTTCTTTCTTGGGGAAATATTTTCTGGGAACTCAAAAAAATTTCTCCGTGGTCCGATACTTTTTCCACCCCTGAACAAGCTATCCCCTGGGGTTATAGACAGAGCGAAATACTATGATGGATGGAACAAGAGACACTGGCAGATAGTTTTTGTCAGCCCATATTAACTTTATCTCAACTATAGCAAAGCTCAAAACTAAGAAGATGTATATGTACAGTGTACACTAAATTTGATTCAGGCCTTACTAAATGAATTTTATAAAATGAAACTATAACCTCACCTCAACAAAGTTTATGATGTCCAGTTTGCTCTTAGCAGGTTGACTTTTTGATTTGAAGAGTGAATTAAATGTTCTTCATTAGGTGAAGTACTTTCTGTAGAATTACATACATAAAAAATAATATTAATTAAGTTACCGGTACATTTTTAATAAAAGCATTGTGATATTTTGAGAGCTAAAAAATGCAATTTTGATTTTTCATATCATTTATTAGTTACCGGTACAGCATAAACCAAAATGCAATTTTCATTTATTATTTTCTATTAACGACACCTAATGTCGGTGCTAATCAGGGGTGGAAAAAATATTTTACTTTCTGGGACCGCAAGAGAACATTGAACATTTTCTGTAAATAGTCAAGTAAATGGACATTTGGACACTGTAATTGTGTGACACTAACAAGTTGTCAAACTGGATGTCATGCTATATTTCACAGGAAAAAATA